TTTTTTTTTTTTTTTTTTTTTTTTTTTTTTTTTTTTTTTTTTTTTTTTTTTTTTTTTTTTTTTTTTTTTTTTGCTATCTATGTTTGAACAATAAAATATTAGCATTCCAAAACACTTACAAATTTTGATATCGAATTTTTAGAAATAAAATTACAGTTGTTTTTTCCCTGGCTGACAGACGAAACTGAATTAAAATGTTTTTTGTTTTGCTTCAAGAACTTTAACCCTTATTTATTTGAATAAATTAGACTCTTAAGGCGAAGTAAAATTCATTCTCAGAAATTTTCGAATAATTAATTTTTTTTTGTTATCAGAAATCTCATATGCTTCAGAATTTTTCAGCATTTCAATTGAATTTTTAACGAACGTAGATTTTGAGAAAATATCTTTACGCTAACACACATTACAAAAAAAGTTAAAAATTTATTTTTATCAAACTTTAAGTAAGAATGTTTCGATTTTTCTTTAAAAATTCAATATTAAATAATATATTCTGTTCTATTTCATTGTTTTATTTATTTATTTTTTAATTTTTAAGATTTTAATTCTAAACACAGTTCTAAATCACATTATTGACCTAGAGAAAATTTTTTGATATTTTTTATTTATGCAATACAATTTGTTGTACAGCTNCACTGAAGGGATGAAAGGCTGAGTCAACCCTGCCCGGCCCGAGGATCGAACCAGGGACCTGTGGCACGACAGCGCGAAGCGCTACCGCTCAGCCACCGGGCGTCCTTTACGCTAACACACATTACAAAAAAAGTTAACAATTTATTTTTATCAAACTTTAAGTAAGAATGTTTCGAATTTTTCCTTAAAAATTCAATATTAAATAATATATTTTGTTCTATTTCATTGTTTTATTTATCTATTTATTTTTAAATTTTAAGATTTTAATTCTAAACACAGTTCTAAATCACATTATTGACCTAGAGAAAAAATTTCGATATTTTTTATTCATGCAATTCAATTTGTTGTACAGCTGTTAGCATGATAGTGAAACTTAGTAGTTTTTAAGCTCAAATTTGCCCTTATTTTGAAATACATACTATAATTTTTTTCTACATATAATATAATTTTAGCTTAACAAACACTTACCCCTGCTTACCAAACATAAAATTAAAATTTTAAATTGAGCCTCTTTTTAAAACAAATTGTGTCGAAACCAATTAGATACCTTAATTTAACGAAAAAATTAAGCTAGCAAATTTATTAGAAAAAAAATCATGTCTTAAATCATTGATCGTGAATTTTATATTTACGTCTTCTATTTGAAAAAAAAAAGATATGTAATTCGAAATACAAAAATTTGGTAAAATAGTAGTGTCTTTTTTTTCTGCCTTATAACTTATATAGATAAATTTTACTTACCTTCCATCTTTGAGGGCATAACTGCAGGTGGCAAAACAGGATTTGTGCAGACACCACTCACAATTTGTTGAATCAAAGCTGGACAGATTTCGTAAAAGCTATCTTTTGATAGAGAACCATTAGGCTGATGTCCGAATTTTTGGAAGAGCTCTTCTACAGTCAGGCACTGCGTAGTTATAAATATTTAAAAAAAAATCAATAAACAGGAAAATTAAAATAGAATCAATTTACTGTAATTTTGGATTTTAAAAACTTTATAGCTGTGTTGTTAATATTTTAGAGACATGAATTCAAATAATAAATACGATGACAAATGCATTTGCTAATGACTTTTTACTCAAAAACTATTCAGAGATTTAAAAATACTTTTTTTTCAAAAAATCATGTACGAAACGTGAAAATTGTATAAATAAATAAATAAAGTTATATTTGACGATTAGTTTCATAAGGAATTTTTCACTTGTTTTCTAGTTTACTTTAAATTTAAATTAACAAACATACTGAATGAACTAAATTAAGAAGTATCAAGGCCACTATAATAGTTTAAAAATTAAAAAAAAGAGAATAAATCAAAATTTAAACGTTCTTCACTATACAAGTATGGAATTGTAAATATTAATTTTTTTCAAACAAGTGATATCAAACAAAATGACGTTCGCACAGGTTTTCTTCGTTGAAGCCTCTCTATTTGTAGGGTGCACGGCTTAAACAGCAGTATATGCTGTTTCAAAGCTAGATACAATTTTAAAAATAAATACAATTAATATACAATTTAAAAAAAAAAAAAAAAAAAAACGAAGATACGCGTACCGGAAGATTGTATTTGCCATAAAGTGTAGGAAACTTCAGCCAGGACCTGGCTTAAAACGTGTAATCTCTAAGTCGCAAGCCTAAAAATATTAGATAAATTTTAAATAACAAGATTAATTTCGACTTGTTAAATCCAATCTAAAAAATTTAAAAAAAACGAAAATACGCGTACCGGAAGATTGTATTTGCCATAAAGTAGAAAGTTCAAAAAAGAAATTTTTTTTTTGCTCAACGAAGGAAGATTTAGAAACGACAACTTAATAATTTTTTAATTGTCTATTTTAAGATATCTAAATAAAAACTTTTTGTTTATTTATAAATATCCTTATTAAGAATCAAAACAATATTCAAATAAATGAAACTTTCCCACCTTGGTAGCTAAACTAGCAAACTGATGCGGCGTTCCACTCAACTCCACGTTCCGATTGTATTCTTCGCTTTCTAACAAATAAACTTTTTTGACATCATCACTATGTCGATTAAATTGAATATGGTGCTGGTCCTCGGGCAAAGAAAAATCACTTTTCAAAGATCTGGCTGGCTGATTGAATTCTCCAGGTTCCACAACTGGTCTTTCAGTCGATTCGGATCTCTTACTTCGATGGACGCCTGTTGATGTACCATTTTCCGCACTTACTTCCGTAGAATTTGCTGTTAATATACCAGTGGATGCTGTTTCCTCAGTAGAACCCAGAGAATACAAAGCTGTTACGTTGTTGTCACCAACAGAAATAGTGACACTAACCTCAGTCACTGATTCATTTAACTTTTGTTCGATATCAGATGATGGAAAAGTGACATCATGATTAAGATGATTGTGCTCAATGTGATGCATATGATCGTGATCGTGGTGAAGATGATCATCGTGGTTGTGGTGGAGATGATGATGACTGAAATGGCCCATGGTATCATTGTGTAAATGATGGGGATGGCTATCATGGTCGTGGCCATCATGAGAATGTCCAGAGTGGCTATGATAATGGGAATATTCGCCATGAGTATGTTCACAATCATGATCATGCTCGTGCTCATTGTCGTGGTGATGAGAGTGATGATGGTTGTGATCGTGGTCATCGCCCTGGCCACTTTGTAAATCGTGCATGATTCTTTTGAGTCCTAAAACATGCAAAATATAAAAATATAGTAGCTAATAGCATATAAAAAAATTAATTAATTGTACATGCTGATATTAAAATTAATACAGGGTTCCCACTCAATTTCAGGAGAAAAATTCCCTGACTTTTCCAGATACATCAGGAAAATTTCCTTGAAAATGTAGGCCATATTTTATCTATACCAAGCAATTTTTCATTAGAAAACTTACATGTTTTATTTGTAATATCAAATATTAGATTTTGTGAGCAAAGAAATATCAATGAATCAGGATAGAAGCATAAGAAATTAGCCTTATTTAATTCTATCAAGCTTTCGAAATTTAAAAATTGTTGTGATATGTATTTGATACAAAGAAAATTTTTTAAGTAAAATCGTTTTAAATTAAATAGATTATTCTGTAACTTGTTATAAAAGAGATTGTTCATTCAACGAAATATCCTTAAAATTTTTTAATAATTTCAAACTTTTCAGTGAAGACTTCAATTTTCAAAGCACTTGATGAACAACTACTAGATTTTACAAAACATATTTATATGACATTCCTATGCTGTACAGTGCCCAAAAAAATTAAACGGGCCACCCTCAGTAACGTTTGATCCCCCTAATGATCGGATTTTCAAGTAATAGGACTCAATCTTAAAGGCTCGGACGAGTGACCTCTAAGCTAATTAATTAGTACAGACGATATTTTAAGTTACGAAATCAGATACGAAAACGTACTTTCTCTGAATAAACATACCCTTTGTTTCGACGGATTCGAACATTTCGATTTCTGATCACCAAAGTATAGGGGGTAGCCGCAATCTGAGAAATATGGTACAATAGTTTGGGCAGGAAAGCTGTCCAAGGTTTGCACATCTTAATGTTAATTTTACTTTTTCACCACATCTCGATAATTTTTTAAGCGAATTGAACTAATTTTGCACACAACTATAAAATTCGTTTATCCAAAGAAATTTTCATACAAAATATATACGTTAGGGAATATTTATTATTTTTTATTATTTTATTTAACTACAGTCGAGAAAGTTTTGACTGATAAGGTATAGAATTTCGTACATCACTTAAAGAATGCAATTCTAATTCTAAATGACAAAATACAAAATTTCCTCAAAATCGGTGAATAATTCCGTAGAAGTCAAATTTTGAAAAAGACGCAGTTTTATATTTACAGGTGTATTCACAAAAAGTAACTAATTAATTAGCATATTTGAGATCACCCCTTCAAACCTTTAATATAGACCTTGAAGATTGGATCATTAGATTATTTAGGGTGGTCCGTTTATTATTTTGCGCACTATACACTAATCAAAACATTAATTTCTTTAATATTTAATATTTCCTTGAAACAGCAGTAATTGCGTTTACAAAATATAAATTTTGAATAACGTTTATCAACTTCATTTATACATTTTCATGTACAACAAAAACATTACATTTAGACAATTTTGATAAACGTTTATCAACTTCATTTATACATTTTCATGTGCAACAAAAACGTTAAATTTAGACTATAAAAGAATCTTTTCAATCTAAAATAATATATTTACCTTCGACAGTGATGTAAGGCGAACAAGCTTCACCATAATGATGAAAAATATCGTCAATAAAATCTGTTACTGATTCTCCAGAATTTATGCAGTATCCTTTAGAAAAAATGAAATAAAAACTACTTATTAAACATAAATAATTAAACAAATTATTCACCAAATTACTAGATTTAATATTACTTTCACTTACCTTGAAATAAGTAACCCATCACTACTGCAAACATTCTTCTAGTATCAGACACAATATTATTAACATCATGAAAGCTTGGTAATTCGGAAAGTATTTGATCGGCATCCAGACACTAAAAAAGATAGAACATTAATAAAGAATATTTCAGAACATTATTATTTAAAAATTTAATACAGTTGAATTTGCAAAAAAAAAAATTATATATTATATAAATTATATATNTATACACGACTAAAACGAAATAAAGGAGTAAATATTTCTGGAAAATATTATGGTCAGTAACTTTTATAAAATTGGATTCTTCAGGTCAACCGATTTCACTCCAATTTTGTATTTTTTTACGTAAAATTACATACTTTAAAATCGTATACCTTACAATTCAAAATTTTTTCGACTATTATTAAATAAAATAAATTAGATGTTGTCGCACCAAATGTACACCATGGTAGAATAAAAAATAATAAATATTAACTAAAACTTATTTTTTGCATGGAATTATCTTTGTGTTAACCAATTTTAGAATTGCGTGCAAAAATTTTTCAATTCGTTTAAAAAGTTCTCGAGGTATGTCGAAATACGCAAAAATTAAAATTAACATTATGAGGTTCAAACTTTGGACCGCTCTCCTGATCAAACTATGGGGATTTTTTTTTCCAGATCGCGACTATCCCTTATATTTTGGGGGTCAGAAATCTGAATCCGTCGAAAAAAAAGGTATGTTTATTCAGAGAAAGTGCGTTTGTGCGTCAGATTTCGTAAATCAAAATTCATGAGTAAAATTAAAAATCATAAGGCATTTAAACCATTCATTTGGTAAATGTTTCGTTCATATGGTAACGGTTTACTGGAAATTCTAGTTTTCAAAATTTTTCGTGTAGTACAGAACAAATGTTTTTTATGCCATGTTTCAAAGTATCAAAATTAAAGTACCAAATTTTATCACATACTGTAAAATCATCTTTGATTGTTACTTGTACCAAAGTCATTACCATAGCTCTTCGGTAAAAAGTACCGAGCTTTTTGGAGTAACTAATTAGCGGTAAGTTTTACTATATTCTGGAAGTTTTGACCATACTTTTTTTTTTCCTCAACTTGAACGGAAACAAAGCTGAACAGAACATCTGACAGGTTAACAATTAGCAAAAAATTTGAACCGTATTATGGTTCAAGTTACCAAAATAAAAATTCAAAACTGAATCATTTTTTTCTCAAATTAAACTATCAAGTTTAAAAGTAAAAACTTCTAAAACTCTTAGAGCACTAATCTCAGAACAAATATAATAATGTTAAAATCCCTATCAGAAAGAAAAAGAAAGTTCAAGAACGTTGTAACAGTGCACCTGCTGAGGCGCAATCGGCATGGAAAGCTTTATAAAACTAGGAAGTAATCAAGATGTGGATAATCTGTGAGATGTTTATTTTTTCATATTATAATGAAAAGAGTTCATCCTGTTAAGTAATGAAATGAATCAAATATATGCTGGACTTATCTGAACCAGTTTCCTTTAACAAGTTTGGAATAAAAGATACTATGTAATAGTTAAAGGCTTTTTTTTGTTTTGTTTCGTCAGGTTAATGATAAAAAATGAAATAAAAAAGTTCATCTTTTGTCTGGGCTAATTGGTACGCATGTCAATCATGAGAATCGCAGAAATTAATTGTATTTTTATTTTATAATAATTATATCAATTATTGTCAAAATTAATTTTATTGAATTTAAAAATATATTGATTTTGGTTTCTTTTTTAATAAAACAGAACCTTATTTTTACATATTTATAACCGCACACTGATTTTTGCAATTTTTCAAAAAGTCCCAAAAACTTCCAATTCACAAAACGTCTAGAATATCTCCTATTAAGTATTTTTGCCTCAATAAAATATTTATATTTTACACAAATGACTTCCGACAATCACCCTCTAAAATGTTTAAACTTATATATTGCATCTAAAATAGATATTAATTATTACTAAATCACACTAATTATTATTATTAAATATGAATTATTATCAAACTAATTAATATTATTAATTATTACTAAATTACTAAATCAGCCTAATTAAAAAAATATTGCTGTAGAAATTACGGCATAATATTTTACGGTAAAAATGGATTTTACGGATAATACAATCAAAATATCGGATTTTTTTAAAGCGTATTATATAATTAAACTACACCCTAATGCAGGGGTGGCGAACCTTTATACACCAACGTGCCATTTTTTCTGAAACATTGTTTGATGGGGTCATAGACGTGCCGTCAAATAGTTTTGACTTCGTGATTATTGGGAAAATAATAATACTAAATACTACCAATTCAAAACTCTTTATTTACATTTAAAAAAAAACAAAAAACATTTTGCAATGTCTCAGTTATACGCGTAATTCAACTTAAAGTAACATCAGTGTGACTTCTGTTGTTGCAGATTAGATGACAAATTATTAGGTTGCAAGATGTTAGTTTAAGCAGGACTGTTAATTTTTTTGCTAGTTATTTATTGTTAGCTTGTTTTTTATGGTTATTAATTGTTTTTTTAGCATTAATTGTTAATTTTTATTAATAATTGTTCATTATTTCGTGTGTTTTTTGTGAAATTTAATTTAATTGTTACATATGCTTCATAGTGTAATACCATTTGTGTAATAACAAATGTGATCGGTGGCGTGCCCGAAATATTGCGTCGGGTGCCATAAATGTCACGCCTGCCATTGGTTCGCCATCCCTGCCCTAATGCATAAACTACTATTAATCTTGAATGAAACAAGAACTAAATGAATAGAGTAAAAACAATAACTTACAAATCAGATAATCTAAAAATTTTATAATGACTTGTGATTGCGGTACATTAAGACAGTGGTACGCAATTGAAAAAAAATATCATTTTAAAAAAATTGAAAAAATTACTAGATATCGGATGATTTGTTAGACTAGATGAATGATGTTAACAAATTCAAAAAGTATATCCTAATATTTAAGTAAATAACTAATGACGTAATGAGTAATAAATTAACACTTTGTGGTCGTATTTTGTTGATATTTAATTGAATAAGAAAGGCTGACAACAATCATGCCACAGCAAAGGATAAATAAACATTTAAAAAAAAAACAATACGTTTTACAAGGAAAAAATTATTCTGGAAAAATTACCTTACTCTATAGTAATACATATTTACCTTTCTGATTAAAAAAAAATAAAAATATAAAAACATAATTCTGGTAATAAAACCAAAATATACGGTATTTAAACCATCCATTTGACAATTTTTCCATTCATATATTGTTATGATTTACCGAAAATTCTAGTATACAAAATCATGTTTCTTATTTCAACGCATTTAGTAAAAAATACATAACTGAAAAGTAAATTTAACCGAATAAATGGTTTTTATGCGATGCTCTAAGGTATCATGATAGAATTAACAAATTTTACCACCTTTACTAAATTTTTACCCATATTTTAAACGCTACTTTACTGTTAATTTTACCAAAATCATTTTTAAAACACTTTTGTAAAAATTACTGAGCTTTTAGGCATTTCCATAGAGTCAGAAATACAATAAATTTTAACCATTTTCTGTTGGTTTTGACTATACTTTTTTTTCAGTGTATACACTTAAAAAAAAGAGAGAAAAAAAAACGCTTTTTTAAACATGAATTCTGAGAATGTAAAGTAATAAGAAGAGTAAAGTTTCATGAGTTTCATTTTCACTAATGAAAAAAATTAATTTTTTGTGCAAGAAACCGGAAAATGCAGTTAAAACTAAAAAATTTGAAACCAAGTATCAATACGAGTACATCTAAATTGAGCAATACAATATGTGATACACATCAGCAATATACAACAGTCATGCCAAGCCGGATATAAAGTTAGATAAAGCAAACATTTACACAGTATCTGAATATGAATTTATTTTCAAGAAAATGTAAGGGCTTTTATGTGTTTTACGATCCTGGAAAAACCCATATGAGAATAAATATTTGATTTCCCTTTCTATTTTTTTTTCTACATTTGAGATAAAATAATTATCTCCGTGGGGAATCTCCCGTAATCCTATTTCGTCAAAACCTGCAACAGTAAAATACCTGGAATTTGCATCAATCAACATGTGGAAGTACTGAAACAATCGCTTCATTGTTATGTTGAAAAGTTATGTTCGTGAAACACTATTAAACTATTAATGCTGATTCATGCGTAAAGAAATGAATGCCTTAAGCTCATAAAAGTAGGCAATCAAACTTTTATTTTCCTAAATAAAATTATTACTAAACAGTATACTCTTATAGCATAGCTTTGTCTCTTTGAGATGTGGAGCAATATATGCAAAATAAATACACTTATTTGTGTTCGCAATTAAAAATTCATAAATAATAATCGTTCTAATATAATTCTTTATTTCTCAGTAGATAATATATATTTTAATACAATAATTGTTAGCTCTGTTCTTAGCTTCTTAAACGATGTACTACAGAACATAATTAATCGGTAACCTTAAAATGCAATCAACTTTTGTGTATTATGTTCAGGCATTAATCTCACTAAAAATAATTTTTAAAAGAGACTGGTGACTATTCATAATTTGTAACTTTGCGAAGTAACTGTTTTTTTTTTTTTTTTTTTTNTTTTTTTTTTTTTTTTTTTTTTTTTTTTTTTTTTTTTTTTTTTTCAATATTTCGCTACTTCGAATTTTAGTAACGAATAATGTTGTAATTTATATACTGTTAGAATTTTCATTCTAAAATTATGGAAAAATAACCGGCAGTCGTCTGTCTATCCAATTAACCGTGAAGTTTATAGTAAACAGCGTTTTTTACTTTTACAGTTTTAAAACCGTTTACAACTAGTATGATTAAAAAACCATAAATACAAAACTATGCGGTTTTTTAACCTTTTACAACAAGCATGGTTGCAAAACCATAAAAAAATTAATTGGACATTGGAACTAGGATATTCCTTAGGTAATGGGTATTGGAATTAGGTTTTGTTTTAATTGTGCTTTATCGAGAGGAAATATTGTTTTCTTAAAGCTAGGACTCGTACTACAGTTCTGTTGGTCATGAGATAAACAGATTAGCCGTCTCAGCTATAATATGTACCCTAGGCGGCTTCATTAG